CAAGTGGAATACAATTTATTAATTACATTATTCTTTGAAATTTTAGGATAATTACATGTAAAATGTATTTTTTATGGAATTTAAACGCAGAGCGGTATTTTTAAAGAAGTTTGTGAAAGGTTCATTGTTTAATTATTTATAAAAAAATGTAAATTGGTTAATTGTGGTTGTAGGTAATTTGTCGGTAATGAAAATGTTTCTTATTGTTAACTACATATGTAAAAGTATCAATTTATATTAAAAAAAAAAATATTTTCGAAATTTTTAGTAGAAGAATTTGACCATTTGATAAATTAAAAAGGACATTTCAAAGATGAAAAAAATTAAATAATATTATATAAAAGTTAGTTATTTTTTAGGGGAACTTACCATTTCTACCCTGTTACTCGACAGCTCTTATTGCTAGATCACAACCTAATAACAAATTATAAAATTTTTGTCCTTTTCCACGAGAAAATTTGAAACTTATTACATGTCCAACATAACACTGTCTAATTTCCGACAAACTTGTTGTTGTGTTTGCGAAATCCGAACCATGAAAACGTATGGTAGGAACTAACCCATTCTCTCACTTACCATCGAATAAATACACATATGAAAGAGACACCTAGACCACCTTACGCGGTGCTCTACGATCATGCAAATCTATCATAAATTCATTCTTACAGTCACTTAAGTAAAATTTTCACGTAGCTACAGTGTAACAATAAAAAAAAAAACGTTTGCCAGTGCAACTTTGTCTATAAGAATCATAAATCAATAAAAAATATTTCCATTCAATGTGATATCTTTTGAGATACTTTGAATTTTTGTAATGTTAATTCAATGTATTAATCTTATAATAATTAAAATTATCTGTAGTGAGTAAAATTAATTCACTAATACGATATATTTTGATTTTTGTTAGCTTAATAATTATTTTTTGATAAGGGTCTTCTACTACATTGGCCCTGACTCCTTTTGATTTCGATTACACATTGATTATAATCCTTGTATATTCTAGTTAATATTTTTCCCAAAAAATTCCTCCAAAATCCTTACATAAAACTATTTTCAATAAACCAATTACATGCAAGTGTGTGATATATATACATATATATATACCTGATACCTTATCTAAATTTTGCTCTATTCTTTCTCGAACTAAAATCTAAAGTCGTTACAATTGGGATTAAAAGGTAGCAAAACACATTAACAAATTGCAACTTCTATGAAAAAAATGTTATGAGAACTGTTGTTACTTTGTTGTTATCGCTAATATATGCAAGTGTATCTAGGTGTGTGTGTGTGTATTTGTTCAGGTAATGAAATGAAGAATTTCATTCTTTACTGATTTAGAATTCCGTGCGTGAAATGGTGAAACACTTTTGGAATAAGTATTAATTTCTATCGGCTTCGAACATAAGTATGTGTAATACACATTTATAAATATAACTATTGTACATGAGGCATTTCCACAAAATATTTAACTGTGTCTGTATTCTGTAAGGTTGGTAGGAGAGGTGAAAAATCATTCAAAATCGTTCATGGATTTTTTCGACTTGTTAGAATCAGAATTTGTCAAAAATTAACCATAATAGTCCTTACTACATCCTAACTCTTTCTTTTTCAAATTGACTTCCATAGCATCTCTGTTTTACTAGCTCTGGCTAGTGTTGGGCAAAAATATCGATAACAATAATAGCAACTGATAACTATTGATAATTATCAAATATATCGATATACCGATAACTATCGAATTGTTATCGATATATCGATAGTTCGCAGTTACTCATTGTTGTTACCAATGTATCGATAACTACCGATAATCCGATAATTATCGAATATAACGATATATCGACAGTTGTCGATATATCGAAGTAGATATTGATAGTTATCGATTTATCGATAGTTCTCAGTTACTCATTATTGTTATCAATATATCGATAACTACCGATAATCCAATAATTATCGAATATAACGATATATCGACAACTGTCGTAGTAGATATTGATAGTTATCGATTTATCGATAGTTCTCAGTTACTCATTATTGTTATCAATGTATCGATAGCTACCGATAATCCGATAATTATCGAATATAACGATATATCGACAGTTGTCGATATATCGAAGTAGATATTGATAGTTATCGATTTATCGAAGTAGATATTGATAGTTATCGATTTATCGAAGTAGATATCGATAATTTTTGAGTGAGACTATTCTTGTCGATATACCGATAATTATCGATAACTATCAAAGATATTTAGAAACAGTTTTTGCCCAAGACTAGTCCTGATCAGATTCTGTTGTTTTTATCCGATTTTGTTGACTTATGTGATTTGTTGAATGATAAAAATGTGTTTTTATTTTCAATCTTTTATTATTGAGCAACAAAATCCATCCATCTCCATCAATTTACAATAAGTACATACAAGAAATGATAAGTACAAATAGTTAATATAATAGGTGCTAAAATATAAAACAAAATACGTAAACCATTTATGTAATAAAA